ACCTTGGAAAACCAATGATGGTCACTATGAGTTAGAATCAATTGGCTGGCAATGGATTTGGTTTGGTTTGATTCAGAATCAGAAGCATTGTCCTACCTTCATGGGTTACTCTTATGAAGGCCACCATTGTCCTTCCAAGTAGGATGTGAACAGCTATTTTTGTAAAAAGAAGAGTCTTAAAAACACATTTTCAAAAATCAGACTCAGTAGATGATGCTAGATAGAAGGCCTTTTATTGTTATAGTTTATTTGCTATTTATTGAATGAATCTTTTATTTTTGTAAGACAATCAAAACACAGTTACAGACATTTTCAGTATAGTGGTTTGTTGTAATATAATTACTAAGCCATGTTCTCATTTTATTTGCCTTTAAGGGAAGCATACATTTGGGTAAATACATTTTCCTTTCCTGTACTGTGTGTACTGTGTGTACTGTGTGTATCTGTAGGCATTATTATAGAAGAGATTTGTGAAGCTCTTAGGACATTATACTGAATGGTCTCCAAGGGGCTTCCTGAATTTGAGTCTCTGATTCTAATGTAATGATGAAAATAAAGGCTCAATTTTCTTTTGAATATTCCCTTAGGATACTACTCTATTGTTGCATTAGAATCAGACATTCACACATTGTATGCACTGCTAAATAAAATTATGCAAATGAGAACAAAGTCCAGGTTTAAGAAATACATATCAACAATGTATTGGTGGCAGACTAAAGACTACTAATTTATATAACCTGGGAATATAATTAGTAAAATCAGCAATTATCTTTAAGTTTGCACAGCTATACATGTCTAAAGCAAATTGTTTAATAGAAGCAGTTCTTCAATTGGAAAGGTTTCTTGCAGTAGCAATTTTCTCAGCTGAGGATTATATTCTCCTAGACATTTGCATGATTCCTTCTTCCAGGTCTTTGTTCAGATGTCAGCTGCCCAGAGAGGTTTTCTTGACCACAACCTCTAAATTATTGACCTCTCAACCTTATGTGTCACTGCTTCCCTCTCCTATTTTTCTTTATTTCTCCCCATTGATTTATCACTACCTGCAACTAGATGACCAATTTGTTATTTGTGTCTGTCTCCCTATAACAAAAAAACCAAACTCACTGCTGTTGCGTTGATTTGACTCATAGCAACCCCTCCTTGGGTTTCTGATGTGGTATCTCTATGGATGTAGATTGACCAATTTTGCTTTTGAGGATTGACTGGTGGGTTTGAAATGCCAACCTTCTGGTTAGCAGTCAAATGCCTTGGGCACTATACCACCAGGGGTCCCTGTCTCCCTATGTTGTTGTTGTTGCTGTTGTTATTTGCCGTCGAGTGGGCCCCGATTCATAGCGACCCCTCCTTGGGTTTCCGAGGCAGTATCACTACGGAAGCAGGATTGCCCAACCTTCCTTCCGAGGGGTGGCTGGTGGGTTTGAACCGCCAGCCTTCTGGTTAGCAGTCAAGTGCCTTAGGCACTATGCTACCTATAGTGGTGGAAAATGTGGCAATCTCCTTCTGAAAAGATTTCAGCCTTGGAAACCCTGTGTGGCAGTTCTACTCTGCCCTAATATGTTGTTGTTATTTGCCATCGAGTCGCCCCGACTCATAGCGACCCCTCCTTGGATTTCTGAGGCAGTATCACTACGGAAGTAGGAATGCCCAACCTTCCTTCCGAGGAGTGGCTGGTGTAGGGTTCTTATAAGTCAGAATTGACTCAAGAGCAATGAGTTTGTTTTCAATAACACCAATTACATCAATTTTATTGTGCAACTGCCACCAATAACTGTTGCCAAATTTTAATGTATGTTTTTGAAGGTAGGAATGTTATCTTACATGCCACTGAATCCTTAGTGCTTAAAGCAATGCTAGCATGTGCTGTTGTTATTGTTGTTATGTGCCATCGACACTGAAAAAATATATGTTGAATGAATGAATGAAAACTCCAAAATTAAAAAGCCAAAACTAGAGGTGCAAAAGAGAACAAAATAGCATTTAATAGGATAATTTGCGGGATTAAAATTCCAATGAACAGTTTTATCATTCTTACAGTTCAAATTATATTTGACCAGGTTTTTTTCATCTGAACGTCAACTTCTACATGCTATATATTATGCAAGAGTAATTAGGGAAATAATGGTTCTTTACAGTTCATTTTGTCTCTTAATTCCAATAACTTATTGCAGTTTTCCACACATTTTAGTTTTACTCATGAATATTCAAGAAGTCACCCTGAGCTTGCTGTCCCAGTAATTCTAAGGGTAGCTAAAGGATACCAGGAATTATTGGAGAAGTGCTCCCAGTCTGAAAACCGTCTTGAATGTCAGGATAAAGGGGTAAGTTGTTCTAGATTTTTAGGAAGAACTTCAAGCACTGGATTAATATCACCTGTTAAAAATGCTGTACTTATTTGAAAGTGTTTAACAATTAGCTAGATATTAGCTAGTTATATCTATTAACTAATTATCTAATAATTATTGTTGTTGTTTTTAAGTGCCATTGAGTCAATTTCTACTCCTAATGACCCTATGCTCCTCAGCACTTGAAACAGTTCCTTCGCAGTTGACTTTCCCAATGCTACGCGTCGTCTAATGTCCTGACTGCTGCTTCCATTGGCATCGACTGTAGAACCAAGCAACGTGAATTCCTTGACAACCTCAATCTTCTCTCCATTTATTGTGATGCTGCAAATCATTGGTCCAGTTGTGAGGATTTTTGTTTTCTTTATGTTGAGATGTAATCCATACTGCAGACTGTATTCTTCAAACTTCATCAGTAGGTGCCTTAAGTCATCCTCACTTTCAGCAAGCAAAGTTGTATCATCTGCATATCTCAGGTTGTTAATGATTCTT